TGAAAACCAGTTAACTTAGCTCTTTATTTTTAGAAAAAAGTTGCGAGTAAAATGAAAAAAGATTCAAATCACAACCTCTAGGCATGAATGGATTACCACGCACTGTTAAAACAAAAAAAAAGAAATTAAAAAAACAAAGAGATTGAAAGATCCATAGAAATAAAGATTAAGTAAAAATATTAATTGAAATGTGCATATTGGAAGTTGAGCGAATCTGATTCGTGCATCTAGATTTAAGTTTTTGCTTGGAATTGTTGTTTGTAACATGCTTCAAATCCCATAGTATAATTGTTTGTACTTATGTTTTGAAGATGTTTTGTGTTTGTCAATTTTACACTATTGTGGAAATTAAGATTATATATGTACTTAGGGTATTTTGTTTTGTTTTTTTTTTTAGAAAATTGAGAATGGTTACTACGGGGTATAATTTCAAAAGTATCCAATACAAAAGCACATTCTTACAAACCTATATTATGGAGTATTTTAAACGCCCTGATAGACAAAAACTTCCGTGTGTGCATTTTTTGGTCTACACGATATGTGTATAAAATATAAAAAAAATATATGAACAAGAATATAGACAATAGAATTTGACGTGAAAACCAAATTCGTAAAAATTACGGGCCTTTTTTGGCGGTGTCATGCCAACGAGAATGTTTTATTATATATTGGGGGTATATTTGTACAGCATATTGGCATGACAGCCATTGATGGAGCTCGAAGCTCCATCGAGAAGGAGAAGACGAACGGGGTGAATACAATTTGTGGGGGATGTAGAATATGGTCTCTCCTCTTGGTTATGTGTCTCTTATATGGTGTCAAGGTAGGAGCCTAGGGTTAGGGTTCCCTTAGCAGGCTTCTCGTATGGACTGGCCCAGTATTTTTAATTAGGCCCGAGGGATATTATCCCATCACGCCCTTTTTGTACTTTTCATTAATTAAATTTGGTGCATGTTATTCAATAATGATATATTCCAGGTATAATTTATATTCAAATTTACATTTTAATATGGAGTACTCCGTATTTCTACTATATAGTTATTATTTTTATAATTTAACTATATATTCAATTATTCAATCATTATAGATAAATATTTAGTCACGCATCGCGCGGGTACGATCTCTAGTTGAAACAACATTGTCGTTACGTGTCCAGAAATTTAACCACTTCATAAATTTTGTGAAGACCTTAGTACTTTTATTTTGTGATACTTAATGTACCTGATGGGTATATCCCTATACCCGACCCGGACAACCGAAAGGGACAGGTCAAAGTATGACCGGTCACTTTTATCAATCACCAAATGAGGTTAACTCTTCGATTGGGACGGGTCAAAAGTTGACCGGTCACTTCCACTAAAAAAGTGACCGGTCACATTTTGGGCGAAGGATATTCCAGAGGACCAAAGAGATGGGTTGAACTCAAGAAATGACCGGGTAACCTTTGAGGAAAGGTGACCGGTCAGGTTGCACTACTTGAGAAGGGCAATCAACGTCAGAGGCTAGGGGACACCCCGCCGCTCATCCATCACGAGACACACAGTGAAAGGAATGTTTGTCATTTTGCAGGGTTGATTAGATTGAGAATATCCATTTTAGTATTTGATTGAACAGTACATGCCTTGGCTTGTAGTTGCTAAATTCATTGATTGAATAGTAGATTGATTATGTACAGTGACCTTCCCACGGGCTTCCTATTTTGCCCATGGATGAACAGGGGAAGGTCACAAATCCTCCTCTATAAATATGATGATATTGGATAGAGGAAGGGGGCCATTCTTTCTCTCACTAAAAACTAGTACACTCTTGAGACAGAGTAAGAAATATATTTCGGACTGAGGAGATTTACCCGGTCTAGGTCATACTTTGTGTTCTTGTTGTGTGTTTTATATTACGGGTCAAGTGTCTAGGTTAAACTCGGTTAACCTACCCAGCTATATTTACACCATCATTTTTGGCGCCCACCGTGGGGCCCGTTTTCAAAGTTTTTTCGACCAGGTCAAAACTTTGCCCCCACTAAATATCCACAATCATGTCTTCAAGAAACCACAACGTCATTTCGAGCCAGGCTGCGAGTGAAAGTACTCCTGCCATCCCAATGATGATGACGAGCATGGGGACGACCTTTGCCCCGATCACCACAGTAGGGTAAATTGGCATGATCCCAATCATGTCGACCCCTACTCCTACGCCAGCGACGACGGTGTTCCCCGGCCCAATAACAACGCCTGGGGGAGCTTTCACGTCGTATCCATCGGCCTGGGCTCAATTTGTTGCTGACCCGGCGAATGCTCAGGCTCTACAGGGCTATCAATAGGTGATGGCCATGATGCAACAGGCAGGGGGCTTCATGCCATATCCCTATCCTAGCATGACGCCACCAATCATGCCACCTCCGGTGTCGACCCCGTCAACATTCGTTCCTAGGATGGTCCCTATACACCCGGTGAATCTGACGGGGACCATGAATGAAGCAGCACCCTCAAATATTCATGAGGTCGATGAGGCGGAGCAAGAGGCAGCCCGCAGGAGGAAGGGTAAGGCTATAGCCAAACCCAGCAAGACCCGAGATTCGGCGTTCAAACGCCTAGGGGACAAAGAGGATGGGCCCTGCAAGTCTGCCAAGCTACGTCTTGGTCCTGAGATGGGCCGGACTAGCGCAATGGAAAGACTTGGTGGGAATCGTCCTACCCAATCCCGTCGTTCTAGGGAATCTGAGACGATTCACCTGGACGAGGAAGAAGCCGAAAGTCAGCCCAGGGCGTCGGCATATAACAGGCTCTCATACGATGAGGACGACCTGGACAAGATAGGGAGCGTAGCAAGAAAGCTACGTGCCCTGGAGGAAAAGGTGGAAGAGAAGGCGGGAGCTAAGAAGCACACTCTGGCCAAATCTCCCTTTTCGGCCAGGGTACATGCACAAAAGCTGAAGCGGAAGGTCAAATTGGACGTAGAGAAGTTCACAGGAAAGGAGGATCCAAACGTCCATCTTGACACCTTCCACAATGCAGCACAGATGGCCGGGTGCACTGATGCTGAGGAATGCTTGCTCTTTTTCTCATCCTTGAGAGGGAGGCCAGTGGAATGGTTTAACGGCCTTCCCCATGGCAGGATTGGGTCCTTTGAGAAACTTGCCAAAGTTTTCCGCAAGAAGTACCAGGACAACTGCGTCAAGAGGAAGAAGTTCACCTACCTTAACACGGTAGGGCAGAGGGAGAAGGAGTCCTTGACTCAATTCTTGACCCGCAGGAGGGACGAGGTCGATAAAGTAGAAGAGATGGAGGATAAGACGATCATGTCTTTGCTGATTAATGCCTTCCGGTCGGGTGACCTCTACACCAAATTTTGTAGAAGGCCACCCTCATCTTATCAAGAAGCCTACAATACAGCACGGGAGTATGCCGAGGCGGAGGTCTTGAACAAGAGCAAGCGAGAGCTGGAGGAAGGCTATACAAAGGTGAAAGTCGAGAAGTTGAAGAAGGATGACCAGATAGGAGGGTCCAAGCCAAGGGCCACATATGACGGGTCAGTCCACCAAGTTAGGGATGAGAGGAAGGTAGAACAACCCAAGCGGCCCGGGACACAGAAGTGGTGTACCTACCACCAATTTGACTCCCACAACACGGCGGACTGCCGAAATGTGAGGGCTGTGCTCAAGGAGATGACCTTGAGAGGGAAATTGGATGAAGTACTCGTTACGGGGCTTGAGGAAGACCTATAGGCGAGTACTTGAATCCGCCCACATGAATAGGATCAGGGAAATCAAAGATGATGAATAAAATCTTTCTTCAATAAAAGTGATGTTGGGTCAGTGATGCTAAAATAACTTGTCTTGATGTAAGAGGCAAGGTCAAAATTCAAAAAAAAAAAAAAAAAAAAAAAAACCCTTGAGATAGGGGCCTTGATGTTGAGGCCTTGAGATAGGCTGGATCTGGAAGAGGATTCGCATCCATACTTACATGGATCCCTACCGACCTTTTTGGTTGGGAAGGGTTAGAAAAGATGCCAAAAAAAAATTTACCGTCTTGTATGAGCCATCCTTTGTGGATCGGAATGTCTAGGGAAGACTAGAATTTCCGAACACATAATATATGGACGTGCAGGATTGGATGAGGGCTGGTTCTCACTGGCATACCCCCATGTGGGAAGATTAGATTGGCTAGGTCAATCTAATAATTAAAGAATGGCACATTAAAAGACTTAAAACCTGGAAGAGGGGCCCTGGAAGAAGGGTGTTGCCTGGAAGAGGGCTGAACCTTGGAGAGGGTTCGCGATCATAGGACATGGTCAAAATCTCCGAAGAAAGTTCGGGTTTTGATGTTGAGACTTGATGATTCCAAAACCATTTCGGATTATTCGTTCGAAATTTAAGCAAGGTTGTTGTTAGGCATGACATCCAGGCCAAAGGGGTAAAGGAAAGTGGCATGGTCAAAAGTGACCGGTCACTTTTTGATGATCGAGATTGGCAAGAAAATGTGAATGGGAAAAAATTAAAATTTGACCGGTCAACTTTGAAAAAGTGACCGGTCATATTTTTCGGGTTGGATTTGAGGAAATCAGGCAGATATGGAAAACTTCCATTTTGACCGGTCATACTTCTTACCCGGCACCTGGACAGAAAATTTGACGTCATGCTGGTTACATATTGCAACCAAGCCATTGGAATTTGGTCAGGAATAATTCAACCTAGAAGAGTGTCACATTAACCTGGAAGTTGACTGGGTCAGAAGACAAGCCGGGAAGAAACTGACCTAGACATTTTCAAGTCAAGAGACCAGGACATGAGATGACATGGAAGTTTTCAAGCCTTGCGTCTAAAGTGATCTTCAAAACTTTTAACCTAGCCTACTACACCAGGACATGAGATGACCTGGACGTTTGTTGCAGTTCAGCCTAGACATAAGCCGGTCCAAAAGACTAGTCAGGCATGAGGTGCCCTGGACCTAGACGTTTCCAAGATTACAAGACCTGGACATTTTCAAGAGATGAAATTGACCAGGACATTAAAGAACCTAGACGTTTTCAACCAAGCCAAGTAGGCCGGTTACTTCTATTGACTTGGAAGCAAACATGTACTAGACAATGGTCAACCAAGCCAATTAGACCAGGATGTTTTAAAGACCAGGTCATGAGATGACCTGGACATTCTTTAAACAATTCTTAAGGTAAGGATCAAGCAAGGAAAACAACCATGCAAGTGTAGCCACGCAATTTCAGAGGGGGGCCGAGCAAGAAAACAACCATGCAAGTCTAACTAGTCAGCTTCGAAGGGGGGCCAGGAAGAAAAATAACCATGCAAAAAAAAACTTAGCCATTCAAGAAGTTCAACCAAGCACAAAGGAATGTAACTAGACCATGAAAACTTCCTTAATTGGTGACCCTTCCACCCGTGGGACGGGCTGGAAAGAAGAGTGGCCAACCTCTTTGTCAGGGACCTGGACTTCCACCTTGGGTGACTTCACCCCCTCACTCCGGAGGTGCTTTTGGAGGGGAGTGCACCGGGCACTTGACCGGGTACTCTAGGAGGACTAGGAGGACTTACATGGCAGAAGTCTAAAAAGAAAAAAAGTAGACCGATTAATTCTCTAGAGTTTACATTTGGATTTCCTAATAATTCAAAAGTGAGAGGTCAAAGAGGAAGACTTGACGATTTCAAAAGTGAGAGGTTAAAGAGGAAGACTTGAAGATTTCAAAAGTGATAGGTCAAAGAGGAAGACTTGATGATTTCAAAAGCGCCAGGTCTGATGAACTCCAAAGTGCCAGGTCCGATGAACCCCAAAAGCGCCAAGTCTGATGAACTCCAAAGTGCCAGGTCTGATGGTCTCCAAAGTGCCAGGTCTGATGAATTCCAAAGCGCCAGGTCCGATGAACCCCAAAAGCGCCAGGTCTGATGAACTCCAAAGTGCCAGGTCTGATGGTCTCCAAAGTGCCAGGTCTGATGAACTTCAAAGCGCCAGGTCTGATGAACTCCAAAGTGATACGTGTGATGATCCGCAAAGTGCCAGGTCTGAGGAGCCCCAAAGTGCCAGGTTAGAAGAAAGAAATGTTACCCAAAACCTCATTTTCGGTCAAGGGAAAGGCTTGATTATTTCAAAAAAGGATTGGTCAAGAGAAAGGCTGGATTATTTCAAAAAAGGGGGGGTCATGTGAATGACTTGATGATTTCAAAGAAGGACAGGTCATGAGAATGACTTGATGATTCCAAAGAAGGACAAGTCATGGGAATGACTTGATGATTTCAAAGAAGGACAGGTTAGGGGAATGACTTGATGATTTCAAAGAAGGACAGGTCATGGGAATGACTTCATGATTTCAAAGAAGGACAGGTCATGGGAATGGCTTGACGATTATTTCAAAGAAGAACAGGTCATGGGAATGGCTTGACGATTTCAAAGAAGGACAGGTCATGGGAATGGCTTGACGATTTCAAAGAAGGGCAGGTCATGGGAATGGTTTGACGATTTCAAAAAAGGACAGGTCATGAGAATGACTTGATGATTTCAAAGAATGACAGGTCATGAGAATGAGTTGATGATTTCAAAGAATGACATGTCATGGAAATGAGTTGATGATTTCAAAAGGACAGGTCATGTGAAGGACTTGGTGATTCAAAAGGACAGGTCATGAGAGAGGCCTGGTGATTCAAAAGGACAGGTCATGAGAGAGGCTTGGTGATTTCAAAAGGACAGGTCATGAGAGAGACATGGTGATTCAAACAGACAGGTCACGAGAAGGATTTGGTGTTTCAAAAGGATAGGTCAGTGAGGACGCCTTTGTGATTCCAAATAACGACAGGTATGAGGGAAGACTTGTTGAATTCACAGTGATGGGTTAACATAAGTATACTTCCCGCCCTTGATGATTTCCTCACAAGGCCGGTAAGTGGAGGACTTCTTGATGGGTATATCCCTATACCCGACCCGGACAACCGAAAGGGACAGGTCAAAGTATGACCGGTCACTTTTATCAATCACCAAATGAGGTTAACTCTTCGATTGGGACGGGTCAAAAGTTGACTGGTCACTTCCACTAAAAAAGTGACCGGTCACATTTTGGGCGAAGGATATTCCAGAGGACCAAAGAGATGGGTTGAACTCAAGAAATGACCGGGTAACTTTTGAGGAAAGGTGACCGGTCAGGTTGCACTATTTGAGAAGGGCAATCAACGCCAGAGGCTAGGGGACACCCCGCCGCTCATCCATCACGAGACACACAGTGAAAGGAATGTTTGTCATTTTGCAGGGTTGATTAGATTGAGAATATCCATTTTAGTCTTTGATTGAACAGTACATGCCTTGGCTTGTAGTTGCTAAATTCATTGATTGAATAGTAGATTGATTATGTACAGTGACCTTCCCACGGGCTTCCTATTTTGTCCATGGATGAACAGGGGAAGGTCACAAATCCTCCTCTATAAATATGATGATATTGGATAGAGGAGGGGGGTCATTCTTTCTCTCACTAAAAACTAGTACACTCTTGAGACAGAGTAAGAAATATATTTCGGACTGAGGAGATTTACCCGGTCTAGGTCATACTTTGTGTTCTTGTTGTGTGTTTTATATTACGGGTCAAGTGTCCAGGTTAAACTCGGTTAACCTACTCAGCTATATTTACACCATCAGTACCTACGCTCGAATAATTTCTTTTAATAAATTTTAGTGAATTTTGTGAATGTCCATCTGCTTATTCAAGGGAGAAATACGAAAATAGCACTTTAATAGTCTTATAATACTCAAAATAGCAGTGCTATTAGTTTTTGGGATGAATTCCCGTTTTTGTCCTTAAATAAACTCCCAAAATTAGAATTATACTGCCATGTATACTCTTTACTGCCACATTATAAATAAATATGAAATTCTTTGCTCTTCACTGCCACAACATGTTTGAGATTGAATTTAGTGCCCTAACACATACAACACTGCCAAAAAAGAGCAGAATTCATTTTAAGCCGTGACCTTTTAATTTTTATGGTAATTATACACTGCAATATATACTCTCTACACTGTCATAATATGTACTTCCAAAAATTCAATGTCTAAAATACACTGCCACAATATATACACTGCCAAAAATTCAATGTCTGAAATACACTGCCACAATATATACACTGCCACAATATATCTACACTGCCACAAAACACAATAATTAAAACTAAAAATACAGCGAAATCCTAATAAAAGGATGCAAGACAAAATTTTAACATTTAATCTTCACACTACCCACACCATAACACCTAATCTTCATACTGCCAAAATCACAATGCCTTTCAAAAGACCTAATTTTTTAAAAAGGGACAAATACTTGGTATTTCAAAATTGATTTCACAATACGAATGAAAATTAAAAATTGAAAGAGAAGAGAAAATGATTAGCGACATCAAAGATTAGCATGAGAGAGAACCTGATGATTGCCGCTGCTGATCGGCCAAGGAATCGTGGGCGAAGGACTGAGGACGCATCATCGCCGGCGAACGGAAGTAGAGACCGTGGAGTTCAATAGCGTGCGGGAGAATGGAAGGAGAGATTGTAGTGAATGCCGTGATTTTTAATGAAAAAATAGAAAAAGGGGTAAAAGATATGATAAGAAAGGATTGACACCATAAATGGCTAAGTTTGTTAAAAATAATGAATAGTGCTAAATGCGTATTTTAGGGTGAGTTAGAGTGCTATGTAGGGTGATTTCTTCTTACTCAACTAAAGATCTATTAGTCTAAGGCCAGTGGTCACTGGCGGATCTATATGTTTGGGAGGGGGGGCAGTTGTCCCCAGTGAATCTTTGCTTCCTATGTAAAAACAAGGAAGAAATTT